CTGGGTGCCCCCGCTGTCTCGCTGGCAGCGGTTCAAGTGAAGTAACACGACATTCCCGCGGTGGAGGGCTGTGAGGCAGCCCGGCCCGTGACACAGGGCCCGCATCTCCCCGTGGCCATGGATCCCGCCCGGCTGCAGTGACAGCCGCGGCATTCCTGCCGCGCTCCGGCCGTGCCCCAGGGCCCTGCCCCAGGGCCCTGCCCAGCAGTTGTTGTAACTCGGTCCGTGGGAGCTTGCAGGACAGTGGAATGAATCCAGGTCTCTGGAATGCGCTAGGAAATCTCTGTAGAAGATGAACCTCTTGGTTTTTTTGCTGGTTTTCCCCAGCATTATTGGAGCTGTTTACTGGAAATGCCACAAACCTTCTGGAGGTGGTGGTCGGGCCTGCACAGACTGTGCGAGAGCTTGTGCTATAAACCGTGGTTTAAACCTCACGGCAGCTTCCTTCAGGAACACAGCACATGCACAACAAGGTTTATTTGCAGACACTTCCAGATTCTTATCTTTGTAGCTGATGCTTGCAGGATCATTTCTCTCCAGCATTGCTTGCTTGGAAGTCAGGTGAACTTACCTATCTGAAAAAGAGCTCTTGAGAGGCCAAGATGAATGTCAGGCACGTACATAGTGTTCCTGTTATCAAGTGCTTTCCTGAGCCGGGACCCACGATTTAAAATATTCTAACTATTCTAAGTATTCCCTATTTCAACTATAAGAAGTGAATCAGAAGGGGCTGTGGGACTTGACGGCAGCGCTGCTCAGGCAGCCGTGAGAGCTCTGAGGGAGGAAAAGGAATCCCAGTAATTGCGATACCTGCAGGAGAGGGAGAACAAGCTGTGGGGGGAAAGGTCAGGCACACCATCCATCTGAAGAGGGATGGGGCTTTAAAAAAAAAAAGGACATTCTGGAGAAATGCATTAGCAGTTCCCAGCCACTCATGCATGAGGAATAGCAGCCCCATGCCAGGGTGCCTGAGGGCAGAGGGACAGCCAGACCTGCAGGTACAGGGACTGATGGCTGCAGGAAGACAGGTCTGCCACAGGAGCCAGCTGAAGCTGTCCGTGACAGCAGCCATACACATCTTTGGTTACAACAAGACATAAGCCCATGAGGGAGCACCATGAAACCCCCTGACCTATATGTAGGAATTCTTTAGGGGGTCAAACACAGTGCCAACTACAATGACGTTAAATGATTGCTCCTGTTGTTTGTCTTGCAATTATTCATTCCTTCTTCTTATTATTAATAACACAAATGAGATTGTGGGTCCAGAGTGTGCTTTGCACTGTCAGGAAAGACCTGTCAGATCTAAAGATGTCCCAGCCTTGCCCACTTTTCAAGGCACAAGTTTTCTAACTGGCTATGGACTCAGAGTTATTTCCACAACACTGCACAAACAGGACTGTTAGTTTGTTGTCACAGCTTAGAAATGGTAACTAGCAAATGCCAAAATCCTCCTAAAGAAAAGGCACAGGTTATGACCTTATATAACAATAAGTGAGTGAGCAAAACATTAAACTTTTCACTGTGGACAGATATTGATAATGGATCAGGTTTCTGTCTATTAAGAGAAACTATTTGTTGCAGTAACATTGAAGTTGATGCAAGGAAAAGTAATATGCTTAAAGATAAGAGCAGATTACTTAAATTCACTATTCATATGCAAATATAACTTTAGTACAAAATCTTAAAAAGCAAATAACCCAAATCTAGGAATTGCAGAGAAAGGGCTATAGTCTGGAAGCAGAGAGGCTAGGATGATCAGCAAAAGACATTGTTTCTTTATTAACATCTCTGGTATTCTCCTGTACTGTTTTATTTTATTTTAAAGTATACAGATCACAGGAATTTTATATGCCAGTGTTCCAATTAAAACTAGGTTTCTCTTTATACAATACATTAAAGCACATTTGATTTAAATTCAATGGCACTGACATACTTGGAATTCATTATATTTTATCAAATATGATTTTGGAGACTGTTGCCTATTGAATGTAAATACCAAAAAAATAACCTGTTTTTATGTTTTTCTTCTGGTTTTGCCCAAACAGTCCATCTAGGTTGCTAGGCTAAAGATAAAATAATTTTTAAATAATTGCATTTCAAAAAGCAGATACACATTTCAGTCATATGATATGAAAATGATCCAGCCTATATAACTCCTACTGCTTACTTTCAAAAAATTCCCTTGTTCTGAAGTCAGTCCAGTGGATATTAGAAGTAGTCACTGATGTAAATTCCATCTTGTTTATGAAAACATTTTGAACAAAGCATTGATTGTCCAGGGTACATAAAAAAAAGTTAAAATCTATAAAATGTTGGCATCACTACTATTCAGGGCATGAGAATGACATGCATATAAATCACAGTTTATTGGCACAGGCTGTTTTACTCAGAAAGAAGGCTTTGCTGAAAACGTACTGTAATACCCCTCTTTTATAGATTCCTTTTGAAAGTATTCTGAATCAAGAAATAATCAGAAGCAAATCTTAGTCTACGGTAGGAATCAAGGTCACAGCAAGTCCTTTATGACATGGGTTAACTGTCGTAGAGGGGCAGCCTAGGTGGAGTTTGGGGAAATTAGGGTGGATGGAAAAGCCTCAGTGTGAAGTTTTGGGAGGGAAGGTCATCTGTGTGTCTGATGCCCCTCCTTGCAATCTCACACACGTCTCTGTTGGCCCTGGGGACAGTAATATGTTAGTTGATTCTTTTAGGAAAAGGTGCTACTATCAGAGTTTAGGAGAGGTACTGTACTTGTATTGCTCCAGTTCCAGACTACTAAAGTGTCACTGAAGTTACATCAGAGTAAAACAAGAGAAACTGCAGTGAACCAGCCTAAGAAGTCTCACAGATGATTCTTTCCTGTTTCTTTTCCAGTAGGAAAATTATTGGCAACCACCAGGGATCAATGCTGTAGTTAATGCTCAAGTGCTACACTGAAGAGCAAATACTCCAGCAATCCAAGCAATTTTCTGTTAAGTCATTCTACTGGACTGCAGCACTTGTGGGTGGGATTCTCCCAAGTGAAAAATATGGCAATGCCACAAGACTAAGTCCTTACTATTTCTTGGAATTTTAGTAACAGCCATAAAATTTATTGTTGGCACCTGAACCTTTAGAAGCACTTGACAAATTAAACAATCAAGCATCAATCCAGCAGCTCTCCTCCTCATATGATGCTTATTAAAATATATTTGGTGAAATGCTTCATGAATGGATTCCAGAATTTTCAAGCAGAAATGCTTAAAATCAGGTTCATAAATACATGTCTAAATTTTTTAATGAAGTTATGATGACTTTTCAGTTTTCTTGAGCTTCTGAAGACTGCAAATGCTAGAGCTTTTGAAAAAAAAAAACCAAGCTAAATTTCAAGCAGGTCTTTAATCTGAGTTAAAATGTGCATTAAAACCATTTTCTAGAATTTGCTAGAATTGTCCATTGTAGGTGCCAGGACTAGTGCTGTAAAGGCTAAAGGAGGAATGGTCTGGCAGTCCTGATGTTTTCTGGGTTGATCTTAATTCCCTGGAGCTGGAGTGCTGCAGGAGAGCTGATTATGATGCTGTACATATGGCTAATGAGGATTGCTTTCTATTTTATCAAGTATGGAAGCTTGGCCCAGAGATTGTTACAGGATATTCCTACTGGAAGCTCACTGTTTCCATTCATCTTAACAAAGTAGCCCATTACTGATCACTGGGGCATAACTCTTTCAAAACCTTGCCTGTACTATATAATTTCATCTTCAAAAAAATCAAGAAAAAAGTAAATGTAGGAGATCAGAAAACTATGAGGAGAGACCAACAAAATCCCAGCTGCTTTAACAAGCGCTTGGCAGCGTGTGAAAGTCAGTGATTGCAGACATGACTAAGTCGTGCCATCTTGTCTGCACACTCAGTGTGTAATGTCCAGAAATCTTGTGTTCCAGCCCAAGGATTCTCCATTTAAAACAGACAATGAGTTGCACAGTTCTACTTGACAATTGTTTTTGAGCATATTTTTATGCCAGAGGATCTGTTTAGGGGAGCCAAAACTATGTATAGTAATGGCAGTTGCAGAACTGAGTGTCAGGGAGCTAGACAGCCTGATGGCTTGGAAAAAACAAGCATGGAGACAGGAAAGAGACACAGTTATTGGGACAAGAACTTGTGCATGTGAACAGCTGGTGAGTTAGGGAATATGTAGTTCAGCCACACTGTCCTCTACTGGCTAAGCCTGGATCTCTGAAAACATGTTCTAATTCATGCTGTTTTCATTCTTTGGTGCTAAATTTAAAGCATTTCAAGAGAATCACACTTTCAGATAGCCCATCTCCTTCACCTCATCTCTCTCATTTTGCCCTCAATACTTTTAAAAACTAAGAAAACAGAGTCTTTATGACTATCAAGGTTCATGACGTTTACTTTCCTGTTGTTAAGACCTTTGTCAGAAGTGAGGAAGAGTTTCAATATAGGGAATTTCAATCAATTTAATTTATTGTGAATTAGCAAGCTGTTAATTACTGATTCTGATATTTTAAAGAATAGAACAGCTCAGGGAAAAATACTTCAGATTCCCTCTGTACACCTCTCCTTCCCTTTTTCTGTTCTCCAGTCCCTCCAAGCCTTCATTGTGGGCTACATTCAGTCCCTTTGGAAAGGTGGGGGCTTGGTGCAGGAGACCAGGGTCAGAAGATGGTCACTACTTTTCTTTTTCCAAATATATAGAAATATTCAGAAACGTAAAGACTTTTGTGAAGGAGAAGAATCCCCAGATTGGAGAAAATCCAGAACTAGAAGTTAGTCAGATTATAACCCTTGCCCATGGCTAGTAGGAGAACTGGATGATCTTTAAGGTCCCTTCCAACCCAAACCATTCTGTGATGCTAGGAATCTCATGTGGGACAGGCCTTCCCACTGGCCTGTGCATGTCCCTTGCCATGCTGTTCCAGAGGGTTTCAGCTTTCTAGCTTACTGCTCTATGCTCTGTGTGGATCCTGCAGGCACCAACCTGTGTCCTGCTTTCAGGTTCTGGACGACAGCTGAGACCGCCTGAGCCCCCGGGAGATGTTGATGCCGATGCAGATGCAGAGGATGAAGATTCTGTGAGTTTTTCAGAGTTGAATTTTTCTGTGATGACAATTTGGCAAAATGGGATCTTCAATATTTTGTTTATAGCTGGGTCTTGCTGGTGGTTTTCCTTCCCATTAAAAACGTTGTATTTTAGCTTGGGATTGTCCTGCCAGCTCAAAAACCAGGAAGATGTTTCCATGTAAAGGCATCTGCTCTTTGCCATGGTTCATTGGCATAAATTTACTACCAAGACTTAGCAAACTATTACATGGCTGTTAACTACAGTAACTTTTCTTTAAAGATTTAGACAGTTTAGGTTCCCCATTGTCTGACTGCAGAAGGAAGAATGCCAAGTGCTTGTCAGCAGAAATTCCTGCTGGGACTCTTCCATGGTTTGCTTGCTTATAGAAGGCAATAAAGTTTGAAGCCATTGGATGCAAATTTAGGTGTGCAAATAGAGCAGAAAAGGGATTTTTTTTCTTTTTTTTTTTTTTAAACTTTTTCAATTATTGCTAATTGATCTCTTTTCAGTCTGTTCAGTCTGTAGATGCATATGATACATAAAGAAAATCAAAAGAAGCATACCACTGGTTTTCGTCTCTCAGAACTCTGTCTCTTGTGTTTTTGAGTGCTTTAACATGAGAACTGTATTTGTTCTCAACCTAAAAAAGAGAGATATTGGTTATTTTTTACCCACCATCACTAATGAACAATTTTTACTCAGAGGGACACTATGCATAACTAGAGAAACACTCCTAAAAAAATGAGTCACTGTTTAATGGTGGATGCTCCTTTACCATCCCTCATGTCTTTTCCACAGGTTAATGAAGTGGCAGTAGAAGACATTCGTCCAAGGCCACAAGGGTCCTCTCCAGTTTATGAGTATCCCATAGAAGAGGACTATTTAAAGGCAAGACATTGAATTTTCATGTAGGCATGGCATTATCAAGTTGATTCAAGAGGCTTTATCTCCCACAAGTAGCAGAGAGTCACATGTCATAGAATGGGACATTGTTGCAGCCATTTTGTCTCCCTGTCCCCACCAAAATTGCATCTATGTCCATTGATAGTTTTATTTTCTGATGGACTTGCTAACCCTGTTCTTGTTTCTTGGCAAGAAAATGCATTTGACTTAATTCTGTGAAGGATACGAGGTAGAGAGCATAAAGAAACTACAGTGGTTTTCCTGTTAAAAAATATAACTGGCTTGAATCTTACTAGTAAGTACTTCAAAATTACCTATACCTCTAGGTTATTCAAAGTTAGGGATTTAATTACTACAGCCACATTAAGTAGGCAACAATTTGAAATTCAGGCTGAAGTTGAGTAAGTGAAAAAAAAAGTACATTTACAAAATTGAAAGCATGAACAATGTGCTACATTAGAACACAAAAAAGCAATATCTTCAGAAGTTTGGTCTCTGACATTCATTTAATGCAAATTTTGGTACAATGAAGGGAGGCCTTGTCATCTAATTTACTACTGGGAATAGTATAGTTAAATCATTCATGTTGTACATTGCACTTGATCCTGATTCTGTTCTGTTGCCATTAAAGTCAGCCTCAGTTCTTATTCTAAACCAGGAATTTTAACTGACTTTCATTTTACTTAAGAACACTGTGACTTCTGAACATTAAATAATTAAAAAATATTTTTCAGCTTCAAGAAGAAAACAAAAAACATTCTACAGACAAGTCAAAACAGAGTCATCTACAGGTCAGTCTAAAAGCACTTCATAGTTTCAGGTATGAGCCTTGAAAATAGTAGAGTTTGTTATAACACAAAGATGTGAATAGGTGGACAGAAGGAAGGACAAATGGGTAAAGACTTTGGATTTGTTTTGACCAGGAGCTTCATGAATGGCTGAGTTGTGGCAAAGGCAGGAACATTTATTTGTCCTATTTGGGGTTCTTCCATAATTCTTTTCAGAATTCTTTCTTCACCCTTCTCTGATTTGAGTGCAGTACAGCATTAGCTCCTAGTCAGACTTTTCTGGCCCATTGACTTTAATGCGAGTAGTTAACATCTTCACAGAAAATACAATCTTTCAGGCCTAATAGTTCCCATATGTTTCACATTTTAAAATTATAACCTATTTTCCCTATGGCTCTGATCCAACATAACCCTAACACACGTGTTTAATTCTAATTTAGAACAGAATCAAAACCACACTGACTAAGTATATTCTCTATTTTGGATAATCTTTCTTGAGCTATTGAAGATATATCTGAGGAGACTAAAGTCTTTACTGTAGAACAACTTAGAACCCTTTAATACAAATGAATAAAAATTATAAATTCAATTATTTTTCTATCTCTAGGAGACAATGGAAGTGACCCTGAAAACAGAAGTGGAAGCTGGTGCTAGTGGTTTTAGTGTGAAAGGTGGAGGAAATGAAGGAATATTTATTAAAAAAGTACTTAAGGAATCTCCTGCTTCAAAAATATTTAGTCTTAGAGAAGGTACAGTCTGATTTTTTATTTTGTTTTGATTTTATTCTGTATCTTTAAATAATGAGATGTCTAGCTGTGTGATAGCCATCTCTTTAGGTATCAGAAATAGTAGATTTCAAACCCACTAATGTTATCTGTGACCTTAACCTCTCCATATTAATTATTTCTAAGACCACTTGCTTGAACAATAATGAAATGTGATTTTTTTTGTATACCATTAAAAACCTCAGTTTTCACTGGAACAGTGAAAAAAAAAAGCTAAAATGAAAAAAAAAATTTGAAAAAACTATAAAAAAACACAAAGTAATTACAATTATGTATTATTCCACTTGCAGGTGATCAGCTTCTAAGTGCCACAATATTTTTTGATAATATCAAATATGAAGATGCACTCAAGATTCTCCAATATTCTGAGCCATACAGAGTCCAATTCAGCCTCAAAAGAAAAATTGCTGTGCAAGAAGATCTAGAACACTCTACAGCTCAGCACAAAAAGGAAAGGATAGGCCAGGTAGATTCTGATTAATTTACAAAGTTTGGGTAACATACTATAGTAACGTGGGGTGTGGAAATAGATCAGAAAACACTTGTGTCTTCTTAAGACTTAGGTAAGTATTTAAAGTTAGTATCATGAATATTCATGGTTAAAAGAAATCCCACACAATATTTGCAGCTTTTTAAATATCTTTAAGAGACTATAGATTTTACATTAATACACAATCTTGTATTAGGGTATAAAAATATTCTTTAGTGAGTCAGCATTTTTTGTTAGTTGTCCACTGATGGAACAGACTTGGGTAATCTCTGTAATACTTACATTCAGTATGTTCAAAAATGTAAAATATCAGTAAATACTTTTATCCACAGGTCCTTCATAAGATTTTATATAACCACTGATATTTTGATAGATCTATGATCTCTTCATAAGTTTTCATCAATTTTAAAAAAAAAAATTCCTCATATACATATATATAAATACTATATATAACATATATTTGTACAGACATATATATATATATATATATATATATATAAACCTCTGTTTACTGCAGTGTTTTGCAAGCAATCAAAATCTTCAGAAATCCATATAATATAGCCTATTTATTTTACATAATTTCTGCTTGACATTGCATATTTGTATAATCTTCAGGATTTTTTTTATATAACAAGTAGATACAAGTAATAAGAAGCACATTTTTCTACTATTTTATAGTATGTTTTTTATTTTCTGTTGCACCTATGTTTAGGTTACTTGTAATCTTCTGACTACTATTCTTTTAGGAAAAAGAACTCAGTGACAGCATTCCTGAAGAAACACCGCATGTTTCAGGAAAAGACATTTCAGAAGAAGACAGGGAAACATTAATTGTAAGCCAAAGGCTGGGAAGAAGTAAGAGACCTAAAAAAGATAGATTATCATGGCCGAAATTTCAAACAATCAAAAATAAAAAGATATTGAGGCACAGAAGATCTCATAGTACATCAGATGCATATGAGCCTGCTATACAGGATATTTCCCCTACAAGCACAGACACAGAGTCTCAATTTCCACAAGAAGTCCATACCAAAGAGAAGAAAGGAAGCCAAAGGAAGCTGAAGTTCCCTAGCATTGGATTCAGAATGCACAGATCCAAACCAGAACCCCAAGAGAAGCAAAAAAAAGAAATAAAAACTACACTGATATCTGAAAGAGAAAACATACATAAAGATGATATAAGCCTGGAAAATCCTGAAATCTTAACTCTTGAATACACCACATCTTCTGCTTATGAAATGAAAACAGGGGAGAGATATGAAACTTTAACAAAAGACTTAAAAGAGATGAAAAATGGCATTCCATCTCAAGTAAAACAATGCCCTGAGGTTGAAATAAGCATTAAAAAAGAAAAAGACAAGGAAGCAACATCAAAATTTAGTGTACCTGAAGTACCAGACATAACAACAGAGATACCAAAGCCCAGCTTAGAAACAGCTGATCTGAAAGTAAGCCCAACTAAAAAATCACCACAAGCCTCATCAAAATCCCGAAAAAAGAAACAGAAAGGAACAGCAGATAAAAAAGACGAAGAAAGTGGAATTAACACAGACTTGAAGGGTAACACAGCTAAAGGGTCTGTACAGGTAAAAGGCCTAGAAATAGGTACTGCTAAAGCAGAATTACAGACATCTGATGCACTGGAAACAAGAGAAAATCAAGCAGAAGAGGACATACAGATAGTAAATATTCAGAAAATAAATTATGGAATTTCAATGCCCAAAAGAAAAGACACAGAGACTGATGCCACCAAACAGGGAGGTGATGATCCACAGTCAGTACCAGACAAAACAGCTGATATGGCTTCAGAGGACAGCAAGAATTTCAGTGTGAAATCTCTTATGCCAGATGCAGACTCAGAAGTGTCTACTTGGAAAATACAAATGCCATCATTCAAAGTGGCCAAAACACCAAAAGCTGATATGAAAATAGCAAGAGAAGAAAGCAGAGAGGACAGAGAAGATAGGGTAAAAAGGGAAGGAATAGAGGAAGATGGCATGCCCACAAATGATAAAGCTTTAAATGTAGAAATTGGAATGAAGACAGGAGAAAAAGATATAGAGGGGAAAGAAAGCAAATTCAGATTGCCAAAGTTAAAATTCCCTACATTTACCTGGTCAACTACAAAGGAAGAAACAGCCCAAGCTGAAGCACAGATAAGTGAAAAGGAAGTAAAAGTGAAAACCCTAGAATATGCAGAAGGGCTTCAGATCAGTGGAAGAACAGAAGAAATAACAGTTCCAAGTGCTGAAATACAAGTAGGCATATACAAAGGAAAACTAGACCAGGACGACATAAACCAAAAGAAAAAAGGCAACTTGACGAGTCCAAAAGAAACAACACTGAAATCTTCCACAATAAAAATTAACACTGAAGACACAAAGGGAAAAATACTAAATACAAAAAATGACACAGAAATGCAGAAAAGAGAATTCAATAAAAAATCAATATATGAAATATCAGAAGTTACAAAATCCGACATCCAAGTTGGCAAGGTGGACATCAGCCTGCCCTCCGTCGACGTCACCCTTCCACAGGCCAGCGTTGACCTGCAGGCGCCTGAGGCCACCCTTAGCGTGGAAGGAGAAGCCAAAGTCCCAGAGAAGGAGGCCACCAAGACCAAGGACAGCAAGTTCAAGATGCCCAAGTTCGGCATGCCTTCCTTTGGCTGGTCCAGCAGCAGAGAGGCCAAGGGCACTGTGGCCGCCGAGGTGGACGTCAGTCTCAAGGAGCCTGAAGTGACGGTGCCCTCGGCAGCCGCCGAAGCGGACGTGACGCTGCCCTCAGCGGACATCCAAGCACCCGGCGTGGAGGCGACGGTCGAGACGGTGGCTGTAGCAGCAGAGGGCGAGAAAGGCCGATTCAAGATGCCCGATGTCAAGATGCCCAGCGTCAAGCTGCCCAAAGTCAAAGGTCCCCAGGCGCAGATCAGCCTGCCCAAGGCTGAGGTTTCCTTGCCCAAAGGCCAGGAGGGTGAAGTCACCCTTCAAGGCCCCGAGGCCGAAGCCAGCCTGGAGGTGGCTGCCGGCAAAGCTGAGGGAGGCGGCATGAAAATACACATGCCCAAAGTCAAGGTGCCCAGCGTGGTCTTCTCCAAGCCCACTGTCAAGTCTCCCAAACTGGATGCAGACATCAGCCTCCCACAGGCAGAGCTCAAGGCCACCGATGCTGACGTCAGCATCGCGGCCCCCGACATCAAGCTGCCCTCTGTCCAAGGCTCCCTCGAGCTCCAGGCGCCCGATGTAGACCTCAAAGCGCCCTGCGCCGAAGGCAAGCTCGAGCTGGAAGGTACTGGCTTGAAAGGCAAACTCAAGATGCCCAAATTTGACAAGCCCAAATTCTCAGTGTCCTCCCCCAAGGCCGAGTTGCCCGCAGCCGAGATCAGCGTGCCCAGCGCAGAGGTCGACCTGCCCTCTGCCACCGTGACAGCCGCGGGAGAGGGCCCGGGGCTGGGTGTCAAAGCCGACGTCCCCGGTGCCAAGACGGAAGGCGCCGGCTGGAAGCTGGAGAAGCCCTCCCTCAAGATGCCCAAAGCTGACATCAAAGCTCCCAAGGTGGACGTCAGCCTGCCCTCCGTTGACGTCACCCTTCCACAGGCCAGCGTTGACCTGCAGGCGCCTGAGGCCACCCTTAGCGTGGAAGGAGAAGCCAAAGTCCCAGAGAAGGAGGCCACCAAGACCAAGGACGGCAAGTTCAAGATGCCCAAGTTCGGCATGCCTTCCTTTGGCTGGTCCAGCAGCAGAGAGGCCAAGGGCACTGTGGCCGCCGAGGTGGACGTCAGTCTCAAGGAGCCTGAAGTGACGGTGCCCTCGGCAGCCGCCGAAGCGGACGTGACGCTGCCCTCAGCGGACATCCAAGCACCCGGCGTGGAGGCGACGGTCGAGACGGTGGCTGTAGCAGCAGAGGGCGAGAAAGGCCGATTCAAGATGCCCGACGTCAAGATGCCCAGCGTCAAGCTGCCCAAAGTCAAAGGTCCCCAGGCGCAGATCAGCCTGCCCAAGGCTGAGGTTTCCTTGCCCAAAGGCCAGGAGGGTGAAGTCACCCTTCAAGGCCCCGAGGCCGAAGCCAGCCTGGAGGTGGCTGCCGGCAAAGCTGAGGGAGGCGGCATGAAAATACACATGCCCAAAGTCAAGGTGCCCAGCGTGGTCTTCTCCAAGCCCACTGTCAAGTCTCCCAAACTGGATGCAGACATCAGCCTCCCACAGGCAGAGCTCAAGGCCACCGATGCTGACGTCAGCATCGCGGCCCCCGACATCAAGCTGCCCTCTGTCCAAGGCTCCCTCGAGCTCCAGGCGCCCGATGTAGACCTCAAAGCGCCCTGCGCCGAAGGCAAGCTCGAGCTGGAAGGTACTGGCTTGAAAGGCAAACTCAAGATGCCCAAATTTGACAAGCCCAAATTCTCAGTGTCCTCCCCCAAGGCCGAGTTGCCCGCAGCCGAGATCAGCGTGCCCAGCGCAGAGGTCGACCTGCCCTCTGCCACCGTGACAGCCGCGGGAGAGGGCCCGGGGCTGGGTGTCAAAGCCGACGTCCCCGGTGCCAAGACGGAAGGCGCCGGCTGGAAGCTGGAGAAGCCCTCCCTCAAGATGCCCAAAGCTGACATCAAAGCTCCCAAGGTGGACGTCAGCCTGCCCTCCGTCGACGTCACCCTTCCACAGGCCAGCGTTGACCTGCAGGCGCCTGAGGCCACCCTTAGCGTGGAAGGAGAAGCCAAAGTCCCAGAGAAGGAGGCCACCAAGACCAAGGACGGCAAGTTCAAGATGCCCAAGTTCGGCATGCCTTCCTTTGGCTGGTCCAGCAGCAGAGAGGCCAAGGGCACTGTGGCCGCCGAGGTGGACGTCAGTCTCAAGGAGCCTGAAGTGACAGTGCCCTCGGCAGTCCCGGTATTGGATATATCATTGCCTGACTCTGATGTCCAGTCTCCCACTTCTGGTGTTTCGCTGCTCTCTTCTGCTTGTAAAGAGGAGGAATTTGGTAAATCTCAATCTCCTGTATTTCGAATCCCTAAAATTTCCCTTTCTAAAAGTTTCAAACCTCCTGCACAAAAGCAATCTGGCCTTGATGTTTCTGTTTCCAAAACTCATTCTTTAACTGAGGAAGCTTTTTCTGTTTCTTCTGAGAATGATGGATATAAATGTTTGGCTGACATTAAGGGAGGGAGTGTATCTAAAGGTACCAAATTCAAAGTACATGGCATTGGTTTCTCTAAAGCTGAAGTGACTTCATCGAAAATTGATCTGGAGTCCTCATTAGAAAAGGGGGATGATATTACTCTTACTAAATATCAAAGTAATCTAACAGAATCTCAATCAAAAGTAGCATCTCTTGCTGATGAAAATCTTTCAGATTTTGAAATTTTAAGTGACGATGGTTTTGAGGAGCAGGGTGGCTTAAAGGTCGAGGGGAAAACAACATCTGCTGCAACATCTCTGGTTGACACAGAGGTCACAGTTAAAATTCATAAATTCCGAAGACCAAAATTCAGAATTCGATCTAAGGGAAAAGCATCTGAAAGTGACATGGCTTCTAGTGTGGAATCTGAAATTAGCAAGGGAAGGATAACATGTGATATGACTGATCCTGATATTGAAAACCCATCTCAAATCTCTGATGCCCAGCTTGGTGTAAAGTTGCATAAGCCTTCACTTGAAGTTGTTCTGGATGCACCAACAGTGGATCCAAATGTCTTACCCATGGAGGTTACCTTGCCAAAATTAGAAGCAGAAATGCATTGCCCAGATTTAAAGTGCAAGGCAGAACAGGAAGTAATTACAGAAGAGAGGGGTACTGAGGAGAAAGAAAACAAATTTAAATCATCAAAATTCAAACTACCTTCATTTAGGTGGTCACCAAAGAAAGAAGCTGTTGCTTCTTCTCATGTTGAGGAGCATCTAGAAGGACCCACTTTGTATACTTTATCTGGAGACATGGAATCTGAATTAACTTTTCCTGCTCCTGAGAATCAATACATCCATGAAGAATTTGATACAACAGAAAAAGATGGTGAAAAGTCCAAAACCAAGAAGTCCCAATTTACCATGCCAAAGATCTCATTCCCTAAAATGAAGGGTCAGAAAGTACAGGTCTCTCTGCCTGTACTGGAAACTGATGTTTCTGGACTCAAACAAGAAAAAGAAGGTGTTTCTGTTCAGAAGTCTGAGAAAGGGAGTAGTGGAGAAGGGGCAGGACTGGGCATAAAAGTGCCAGAAGTTACAGCCCCAACTTTGGAATTTTCTAAACCAGAAGCCAAAGCCGCCAAAATGGAGATGGATATTAGCATGCCTACAGGTGAGGTCACAGTTCCTGCCTGTGAAGAAGATGAGCTGAGAAGATTGAAATCAGTTGCTGCTAGTGCCAGCCTCTCCACCTCAGATATTAAGATGATACCTGAAGGTTCGCTTGAGGTGAAGAGTCCTGACATAAGCGTTGAAAGAACATCAAGTGAAATTGCTGTGGGTGATGTAGAGATAAAAGCTGAGGGTTCTGAAGGGAAAACAAAAATGTCTAAATTCCAAATGCCAAAAGTAGGAATTAAACTTTCTAAAGGGAAAGGATCACAAAAGGATGTTGGCCAATCCAAATCAGAAGTCAAGGTTCCCCAGCTAAAAGCAATGGTAGAAATATCTGACATTGCTGTTGAAGCACCAGACTTGGAGGTGGAATGTGGCACAGAAACAGAGATTTACAGCCCTGAAGCCAAAATTACTAAACCTGACAATAAGGCATCAGAGGCTGATTTTCACCTCACATCAGCTGGCATTTCCATTCCAAAAACAGACAGTGATATTCAGGATTCAGATGCAGCAGTAAAGATCAAGAAGGAAATAAAGCAAGATGGAGATGGAGAAGAGAAAGAAGGACATTTCAAAATGCCCAAATTCAAACTTCCATCCTTCAGCTGGTCACCAAAGAAGGAAGCAAGTGTTAAATCAGATTCTGGAGCAAATTTGGAAGATCAAAAGCTTGCTGTCATGTCAAGCAGAATAGACACAGAAGTAAAAGGAACTGCAACTGATGATCAAGGTAGTGGGCCAGACCTTGATCTGGAAATATCTGCAGGAAAAGTTGAACAAAAAAGTCCAGTTAAAAAGCCACAGTTTGTCATGCCTAAAATTTCACTCTCCAAGATCAAGGTTCCAAAATCTCAGTCTCATTCACCAAAAGTTGAAGCTGATGCTACTCTTCCTAAAACAGAAATAGAAGGTGATGATTCAATTAAGATACCTGATATAGAAAAAAGTCATCCTGAAGGTACTGAAGAAGGGGCACAAATAAGCATAAAACTGTCTGACACTATGGTCCACACTCTGGAGTTTTCCAGAGTAGAAACTGAAGCCTCTAAAAGTGAAATAACAGTCAGCTCAGCAAAGATTGATGATTCTTTAACTCCCTCAGAGGGGAGTTTTCAACAGGTTAACTTAATTTCAAGCTCCACCAATGAATGTAACATTCAAAAAACAGGTATTAAGCTCCCCAAAGGAGAAGCTTCAGTTGATTTGAAGAGCCCTGATATATTAACAGAAAGCTCATCAGTTGTGGATGGAAGAAAAGTGAAATTGGAAGGTCCTGAAGGGAAGATTAAAATGCCCAAATTCCAGAAGACAAAGTTTGGAATCTCCCTAACAAAAGGGAAAGTCCCCGACACAGAGATCAGCTCCCCAAAAATAGAAACTGAGCTACGAACAACAAAAGAAATTGTTGACATTGCTGTGGGAGTTCCAGCATCAGAACTTACATCTGATATGTCAGATCCTGGAGTAGTTGATGGTAAGATAAAAACACCTCAAGCTCTGATGGGTGGCATTGAAGATGCAAAGGTAGACATAAGCACCCAGTCAGTGTCTAAACCAAAGACAGAGGGAGTTATTGAGAGTCTTGAGGAGAAGGAAATCAAATTGAAAGAAAATGAAATAAAAGCTGAAGAAGTTCAGACTGAAGAATATCAGGGATGGTTTAAAATGCCAAAATTCAGAATACCTGCATTTGGGAGGTCATCCTTAAAAGAAAAAAAAAGTGATGTTGATATTGAAAGAAGTATGGAAAAAGTTCAGGCAACTATTCCTTCTGCTAAAGTACAAACTGAAACAAGTATTCCTGAAAATACCTTCTCATTACCACAAGCAATTGCTGAAATTACTATTGGAAAAGAAGGGATTCAAAAATTAGGAGATTCTGTGAAGAGTTCTGATGCTTGCTTGCCAAAGATGGAAGGAGATATTTCATTATCCACAGAAAGAACAGACAGTAGAGTGAATATTCCAAAAACTGAAACTTATGCAGATGTAGTTAAGCGCAGTGCTGAAGGACATACTTCAGAAATCACCGTGCCTGCAGCAGAATTGCCTAAATCATACTCAAGTGCTTCAGAAACTGACAAAGAGAAGAGTTCAATAAATAGGTTTCCTACACATACTCTGACGTTTCCAGAGCATAAAGGCAAATCATGGGATATAGAAGTGGCAAAGGTAGAAAGTTCCATGAAGTTAGAGACATCAGGGGTAGGATGCAAACCATCATCAGCTGAAATTAGTCTGGATGTAACACAGAAGAAAACAGATGTTAGTCTTCCAAAGGAAGAGCTAGATACTCAAAATAAAGAGATGGCAATTGAAAAAGGAAAGATAAAGGACGAGGTGAAAATCATAGGAAAAGACGGTGAAGAAAGTCAATTAAAAAGGACTATATGTGAATGGTCTACAACAAAAGGATCAGAAGATGGTACTTATGTTACTGCTAAGCTGGAAGACCTAAAGGTAGAAGTTCCAACAGTGAAGACGGATGTTAAAATTACTACAGTAGATCCTGAAATGAAATTTCAAGTGAGAAGTGTTGAAAAAGATGTGTCTGCAGGAGTGGAAGTGCAAGTAGAAGACAGAACAGAAACAAGTAAAATTAAAGCATACAAGTTTAAGATTCCAAAGTTTGGAATATTGCATTCAGAAATCAAGGGGTTTGAAGATGATACCAATATGCCAAAGTCAGAAGCTGATTCAGCACCTAGAAGTGAAAGAGGCACAGCAGAAATGCAGTTAAAAAAACCAGAAGGATCAACTGGCCTGAAAAGTCTGGCTCTAGATGATATAGAAGCAGCCACCAGATTAACAGGGGAAACAGTGGACCAAACACAAGGTGTCCCAGAAGTAAGTGTAAGAATTCCCAAACTAAAAATACCAAGATTCACTTTCAGAACTCTTCCAATTGAAGCTGATGTTTTACTGTCAAAAGTAGTAACAGATCCAAAGGGATCTAGTACTGACATTGAAATAGTGCAACTGCAAGCAAGCTCTGCTATCCCTGAAGAAACACCACGAACTCCAGAGGGGGGCATTCAAAAAGCAAAAAGCAAAATTTTAATGCTGACTGAACCTGACATTAAAACAGCACAAATGACAGCTACCATAGAGTCCTCCCTTTCAAATGCAGGGCGAGACATTCACTGGTCTTATATAGAGGGCCAAGAAGTAAGTGAGAAAGTAGAACCTGAACATGTTGCTATTGAGCGGTGTGAGATTTACACTACTGAAATACTGAAAGAATCAGAGGTTCTGTCATCAGAAGTCAAAACTGCTGCTTTGGGATTCTCATTGCTTAAGGCAAAGTTGCCTGAATCACACAGCGATTTAGACGTGGTGGTCCAGCAGCCATCTCCAACAGGAGGTGAATCAGTGAAAAAACCTACAGGTGCTGGTGAAAGCTTTGGAGTAGCAGCCAAGAGAACTGGCAGTGCTGAGCTTAAACTATCTGACAAACCACACTGTGAGTCTGAAGAATCTAGAGGAAAAGTAATTTTGACAAAGTTGAAAACATCTGCTGCTGAAGTAAAGTGTTCCAGTAAACTGGAAGAGAGTTTTCCTGATACATCACCTCAGGAAATAACTGCAGCTCCCCTCTCTGAAGATGAAGATGTAGTTGAAGCAGTGGAAGGTGAAGAAAAAGACATAACGAATGAGAAAGAAAAGACTGATAGTAAAAGATCTCCTGGAAGATTCAAATTTTGGCTTCCAAGTATTGGCTTTTCTTCTTCTGGGGATGAAACAAGCACAGATGCAAAACCAGAAATAAAAAAATCAGTTCCAGAAGATGTGAAACCTGCTGACACATCAGATGATTCTGCTAAGCAGGCTGAAAAAACTGGATGGTTTAGATTTCCTAAGCTTGGTTTCACATCTCCTTCTAAAAAGGCTAAGTTTGTTGACAAAGAAGAGGTGGGTCATAAAGAGGGGAGACTCTCAGATGAAGATAGCCCAACAGATAAACCAGATGTGTTTTTTGATGCACAAGAAAGCTTATCACCTAAAGAGATAGGAGAAGGTGAAAAAGCTGAAATTGATGGGGCCTCGTCTATCGTGACATCTTCAGCAAGAACTGAACTAATCTTGCTGGAGGAAGAAAAAGATAGTAAATCTAATATTGTTGGAGATACAACCAAATGAAGGTTGTATTTTCTCAATCCTCAGTGAAAACAAAATCATCTGTGTGTACAGAAGAGAATGTTTTCCTGATTTTCTAGTAACTGAAAATTTAAACCCAAGGCTGGTATTCATGAAAACACTTGAACAGAATTTACCACATTCAGATTTTCAAGTATATGTATGTACTAGATTGTACACTAATAAAAATAGTGATTTCTTCATATCTACCCCAAGGGCAAAAGTTATGACAGGTGCTGTTATGACAGAGCCCATAGTTTGAGTGAAGTCTGAGCAGATACCAGAACCATGAAAGTAAATCATTGAAAGGCTCAATGATAGCAAAAGACTTGTTAAAGAGGCTTCTCAAAACACACCAGTTATATTTAGATTGCAGATTATTTCCAGAATGGGTTCTAAACCTGTACTATGAGAACTGTATTTACCTGTTTAGATTTTGGAACTTTCTGATCTATTTTTGCTTTGTTATTAAAATGTTTTTCTTTATTTCAGCTAAGGTAGTATGTATATTCCACAAACACTTTAAAATACAAAATAAAAATTAAATACTAGTGTAGAGAGACTAATGCTTTGCCTCTTCCTCTCTTCTCATTTTTTTATTATTGTGGTGGGTCCTATTTAGCCTTATGATAATTTGAAAAAACAAAAAAAACAGCAAAAACCAACAGAATTATTTCAAGACCATAAAACATGGAACTAAATCATGTTTGTAAGATACCAGAATAAAACATGCTTCCAAAGAATATTACTCAAATGTGGATAAAGAAATTTTAATGTATATACTTATGGGATAGTTAAATGCTTCAAAAAAAAAGTGGAATTGCTTCAGAGATTTTCTGGGAAAGGAGGTGTATATAATTATTTGTCCTTTGTTTATATTAATGCTTCTCTCAAGTGCACAATGAAAACCAAAGTGCATATGTGACAGCCTTCACATGTACCATTAAAACACTGCCTGTATTCTTCATTCACAATAAACTCACCATACAAATAATAACTTGAGTAGCATGACTTACTGACATTTCTGATTCTGAAAATCCCAGCTTAAATTTGCAAAACTTTACATGTACTTCACTGTCTGCTGAGGTGGATGCTTAATGACAGCACAGTTCCTAAATACAGGGGTAATGGAGACTTTTCACTCATCACAATCCCAAGTTGAATCATAGAATATGTTCAGTCAAAAGGAACCTTGAATTCTTGAGTTGTTGGATTGAATTGATTCTTGAATCCCACTCCTGGCCCTGCACAGGACACCCCAAGACTCACAGTACTTGCCTGAGAGCACTGTCCAAAGGCTTCTTGAACTCTGTCAGACTTGGTGCTGTGACCACTGCCCTTGGGAGTCTGTTCCAGTGCTCAAACACTGTTTGGGTGAAAATCCTTTTCCTAACATCCATCCTAAACCACTCATGACTCAGCTGCAGCTATTTCCTCAGGTCCTGTCACTGGCCACAAGAGTGAAGGGATTGGTACCTGCCCCTCTGCTTCCCTTCATGACGATGTTGAAGACCTCAATGAGCTCTCCCCTCAGTCTCTTCCAGGCTGAACAGACCAAACAACTTCAGCCACTCCTCATACAGCTTCCTCTCCAGATCTTTCATCATCCTTGGGGCCTCTTTTGGATGCTCTCTAATGTATTTTTTTTATTGTGGCACCCAAAACTGCTCACAGGATTCCAGGTGAAGCTGCCCCAGCACAGAGAGGAGCAGGAGAATCCCCTCAAACACAAAAAACATTTTCCTAGAGGACTTTACTCACTAGTTCCCTGAGCAACTTGAAGTCAGCTCTCCTCCTGTCCAGAGCTGAAGTTTTGTTGTCCCTTTTCCTCCTGTCAGCAGAGATTTTAAACTCAATTTCTTTGTGGTCTCTGGGGCCAAGATGGCTGCAATCACCACTTCATTCACAAGATCCTCTCTCCAGAATGACAAGTGCTTCATTGTTTTCTCATCCCATATTTCTCCTTATTCTACTTAGTACAGGAAAGCAGACACAGCAAAACACTGAGGAAATGGGTTGTAAGTGAAGCGTGCTTGGGTGTCTAACCACATGTAGATTGGGATGTTCATTTCTACATCATAGAATCATAGAATATTAAGGGAAAGGAAAGAACCTTAAAGATCACCCAGCTCTAACCCCCTGCCATGGGCAGGGACACCTTCCACTGGCCCAGCTTGCTCAGAGCCCCATCCAGCCTGGCCTTAAACTCTCCCAAGGATGGGGCAGCCACAGCTGCTCTGGGAAACCTGTGCCAGGGCCTAAGCAACCTCACAGTAAAGATTCTTTCCTTATCTCTGACCTAATCCTGTTTCAATTTAAAGACATTCAGAATAGAAGAGAATAGTTCATTGAAAGCGGCTCACAATAACAATTCAGTCCAATTGCTTGACCACTTTAGGAATGACCAAAACATAGGAAGAACATTAAGATTATTAAAGGCATTGTCCAAATGCCTCTTGAACACTGATAGGCTTGTGGCATTGAACACCTCTCAAGATAAGTTTGGTTTAGTGTTTGACCACTCCCTTGGTAAGGAAATGTTTCCTAGTGTCAAGTATGAACCTCCCCTGCTGCAACTTTGGACTATTCCCACACATCCTGTCACTAGATACCAGGAAGAAATAACTGGCACCTCCCTCTCCACTTCCCCTTCTCAGGAAGCTGCACCACCACAATCCACCCTGAAACCAAAGCTGACTTTTCTGGGCCTGTGCAGAGAGCAGAGGTCTGTGAGTCAGCACCCACAACCCAAGAGCTATCCTCTAGCAATTATGGAGATATTAATGACTGCCAAGAAATTATGTGTATCCTGATACAGCATAAATTGTAGATGAAATGTTTTTTCAGTACCTAGATGAAAGCAGCAAATGTTTTATCTGGAACAACTGGAAAATGAAAATCCTGGGTAACAGCAGGAGAAAATTTCAACAGATAATACTAAAGCTTTTGGAAGAAGCTGGTGTCTGATGTCTAAGGTGACTTTGTGGTCTTGGCAGTACTCACAACCCATGGAGCCAGCTAGGTTCTGTCTTGCTGTCATCTGCATTGCTGCTGCAGCACCGTAGCCACAAGGCACTGCACCAAACCAAGAGCTTCCAGAGGTGATCCTGCTGGGAGAGCAGTGCAGCAGCTCCTCCTGAAAGCCACTCCAGCAGAGCAGAGCTAATTCACACACCTTGTACTCCCTCATTACACAGGTACCTGAGATGAGCTGGCCAGAGGAGAGTATCCATGCTCAGGAGATAAACCAGCTTTTAGCCTTTTTCTAGACATAAATAAACCAATACTGACAAAAATCTGAACAGCCTGCCATCAGACCAGAAAATGATAGAATATCCTGAGTCAGAAGGGACTCACAAGGTCCAACTCCTGGCTCTACTACATAGTACAACCCCAGGAATTACAACACATGTCCAAGAGTGTAGTTCAAATGCTTCTTGATGTGATAGCTTCCCTGGAGAGCCTTTCCAGTGCCCAGCCACCCTCTGGGTAAAGAATCTTTTCCTAATAGCCAATCTGCCCAAGGATGATGCTAATAAATACCAGTGGAGGCCCCAGCTTACATTTGGTACAGTCCTTAACTCGGAGAAATCACAATCTAAATTAAAGAGATAAGTAAGACATGAATGGATAAGGACTATTATTAACACTGTTTCATAAATGGAAAATAATCAAGACTCAAAGCCTGGTTATAACTTAGATGATATTCTACCTTTCTAATAGAAAACAAGTAAATAAGAATCAAGGTATGAATGGGTTTCAAAAGTCTCACGAGAAACCAGGGAAGTAATCTCAAGTTCCTCGTAGATCCAGTTCATTGTATTAACAATGTACTCCCCTCTCACCTCGCCATATGTAAAGGAAAACCAACAGTGATGTCAATAGAGAAAATAGAAGAGCACTCTCCTAAGTGTCTATTTTTCTTTTATAAGCCAAACCTTAACCCATCTGAGGTTTATATGGTGATAAGAAAATTCTGACAGCTTGTCCAGAAACTCTGTCCCACTGAACAACTAATCCAGCACTGTCAGATTTGAGCTCACAAGTAGAAGAGAAAATATTCTTCTTTTTCCTGCAATATCTGTTCTGGCCAAAAGAGAAAAACACAGCTTGGAGTGCCATCTAGAGGAATGCACTCCTCTACAGAAAACTGTTGTTGGTTGAAGATGTAATGTCTCACCAAGATTTTCAAGCTAACGTTAGTAAGGAAATAGGGGATGAGAGCATGAAAAGCACCTGCATGTTCCTCCATATTTTGGCATGTATGTGAATACACCCAAAATTTCAGTGATATCTGTACATGTAACCACATGTCTTTAAAAACTGCCACAGCAACAAGAAACATTGATTTGTAATGATGGATAAGATACTCCAAGGAACCTTGGAAGTGTCTGAAGAGATAGCTAAGGAGCAGCCTGGAAACCAAAAAGTGGAACATTGATGGGGGTCACCTCTAAAAGTCTTTATTTGTATGGGGATTTTTGTGTATGCACAGCCCTGGCAAGGCTGATGGAGCTCCAGCCCAGTGCCACTCACAGCACTCACAGCTGGAGCACTGCTCTCCTTTCCTGTCACTTCAGAAAGTCTTCCAGGGCAGAGCTGTGGTGGATACAGATATCAGACACCAGGTGACTCAGCTGTGGTCCCTGAGTGACTGCAGGAGGAAAGGCAGCCCAGGGACACAGCACTGCTCAGGGCCAGCACCAGGGCAGCCCAGAAGGAGGGAGGAGGCTCTCCAAGCACTGCCCTCAGTGCAGGTGGGATGTCCTAGCCACAAGAGCACCCATGTAGCAGCTTTGCCCTGCTCCCCCATCCTGCTTGATGCCCAAGACAGACACCCACACATCCAAACATCCCCAGGCACTTGGGGTTCCAAAGCAGCTAAGTTGGAAACTGGCCCCAAGGTTTAAATCCCAGGCATTTATCTCTACCAACTAGCCTCAACACTTAGGTATTTCCCTGTATCTCTAATTTCTAAATGCTCTTAAAAATCTGCCCTTGCTATTGTAGCATGGCTCAAATGTTAAAGTGGCCAGGAGTTTATTAATAATGTTTAAACACATGTAAGCAAACACTGTTAATGGAATATTTAGGTTGAAATACATGGTTTCCAAAGATAAAATAGCACAGCAATAATGATCTGTGTCTCTGATGTTTGCTTTAATGCCAGACAGCTTGTCATACAACATACCTGCAGTGAGGTAAGCACACAAAAAAATCAAACATCACACATTGACTAATGGTTTTGCAGGTAGAGTCAACTACCAGAAATTCTTATGTCCTCAATGTGGATGCCACAAGAAAGTGATTTCTCTGGCAAAGACAAATAGAAGAGAGTTCCTTGATTTGCACATGAACAAGATCCAAATAATTTTTTTTTTTGTTCTTATTTTAAAAGTACATTTCAGTTCACTTCAGGGTCTGCCTCCCAGTTACAGTCTTTCTGTCCCTGCACATCTTCCAGATCCACCGCGTATTTGGAATTCCAGTCTCGATCAAAAAGCTCTTTCAGCTGCTCCTGGATAGGTTGTTGCCTACTTTGCAGGTTGGTCGAATTCTGTTTGATAATTAGTCCCACACCAGCTGTATCAGTGAAATAGTTTTCTGACCAATTGGAAGTCCCTGTGCAATGGAAAAGTAGCTGATTAGAAAAGGTTCATTTCCCAGTGTTCTGTTTGATCTCTGGGCTTTGTTGGCTTGCTCTATGACTGCAAATCTCATTAGGACCAAAGAGGCAGCAAAAATCAGGTCACCTCCTTCTCATGACAGACCTCAGGTTTTGAAAACTTGGTATTAACTGCAACCCTGAAGGTTCATAACCTTCTGATTCATTACAGCCTGTGACAGAATGCACAAATCTACTTGTAAACATGGTAATAAAGTGCAATATTTGAGTATTAAGAGGGGTAAAAGCCAGTGTTTGACATGGGTTTCTGTGTTTAAAGAAGAAAGTCTTTAATAGACTTAATTCTTTTCACTTGTTAAAGGAAAACAAAAGGAGAAACTGGACTCTTGATCAATAAACCCTTGGGAGCTGTTCTGAGCTTGACATGTAAAGCCTGCTTCTAAACCAGGCAAAGCTGGGAATCCAGCTGCAGACATTGTCTAGGGCTCTCTCCAAAGCTACCTCAATTCAGAAAATCAAGCACTGTGAAAAATACACATTTCATCACTTACGCACTTCCCCTCGTGATCCCCTTAGCCAGAAAAATCTGTCAATTCCCAGAAGGTGCTTAGGCATGAAAAAAAAATTATCTGCATATATGCTTTCAAGTATAAAACAAGTTATTAAAGTATTGAAGGCAATTGGAGCTGTAAACCCTCAGCCAGCTGGAAGATCAGGCTATTTGCTGGTGTGCATTGCTGGCAGGATGCACTTTCGCATCCCCTTTTTTGAGGGTTCCTAATAAGAGAGTGAAACGTAAACACCATCCTGGCTTTCAGGAACAGCACACAGTTGACATTACTGTTTTCTCATTTCCTAGAGTTCTGTTCAGCAAACAGTGCATAGAATTAATTCCTCCCAGCAGTTCCTTTTTATTAAAGCACGATAATGTTACGTACTGGAGCACCAGCTATCGCTGTGTCGCTCTGAGCACACAGGCTGTGAAATTCCCACTGCTTGAAATTGTCACAGGCTGTGCACTCAGCCTTGTCATGCTCTGTTCTAATGGTTCACAATCACATGAAATAATCTCTTACTGAACTTGACCTACATTACCATCTTCACATCTGTACCTCTTTACCTAGGACAGACTTTGCTTTACATAGCAAAATGAGGTATTTTTTGGTATTGCAGCTGGTCCTATCTCAGTCTCAGTCCAGTAGATCTGGAGATAAAGTATTTGGAATAATGGAATACATACCAATGTAGGCTACTTTATCAGTGACCATGTATTTGTTGTGATTCACTCTCCCATGAGGAATGTTTGTATGATTCAGAACGGGAACAATGAAGAGTTTCTGGAGGGAGAAAAATTAAAAATATTAACACAAATCTTAGGGTGAAGAACAGACTTCATGATAGGATAGTGCATGTTTTCTATAGTTTCAAAGAATAGAAGAGCATGGGAAGGACAGAGGAGAACATACTGCATTCTGTAATTGAATAGACCATAGAAGAGATTTTATTCCTATCCAAGAAAACTAGCAAATAATACTTCCACTATACATAAACTGGATAAGCAATTGAGATCAGATACAGATAATGTTTGCCTCACAATGTTCCATTAGTGGCACAGCTATTATCATTACAGGGCAGACAATTAAATGCAGTTTTAGGCAGCTGTTTAATAGATCTGCATTTCCCACTGATTGCTGCTCTTATTTTGTGTGAGAATGGGCTGATCGCAGACACGAGGGGTTCTGCAGGCAACTGTAATGCCTAACTTTTTGTGTTAATTCCTACCATGTACACTTCTCCTACAATCTACATTTCCCTTTATATTTTTTTTTTCAGAAACTCATTCCTCCTTCTGTGATATCTCTCTGTTGTGATTACTGGATCATGTTGGGAGCATCCACACCATCCCCACTCCACTTGATGCATTCCAGCCTAATGCCTTTGGCCTGACTGCAATATTTGGTGTTCAAGAATAGATCTATATGTATAGGCAGACAGCAGAGCTCTCAGTTTTAAAAAACTGATAGCAATTAGACTGATTTAACATATTCCATGCAGGAAAAAGTCTCTGAGAGGAGCACTAAGTTATCATATGAATTGTTAACTGTTACAGTGCTCGGCAAAAGCAACTGCCAGGATAATGTCTCAAGTGCCACAGCCAGGCACATACCTGATATCACTAGTAGCTTGAAAAAGCTGCTTCCTCAAAGATTATTTATTGAGCCTTATTTTCACAAAAATGGGAAGCAGTGACTGCAAAAACAGACAACCCACTTCTCCAAAAGCTAATATCTGTACACACAAACAGCAGCCAAGTCTCAAAAATCAGTGTGGCGCTTTATCCTCAAGCTGTCTTTCCAAAATCAGCTTTCTTATTCATACCACGTCAACACTGATGTGGACATGTGGGTTGTTGAGAGCACGCAGGGACCTCAGATAGTGGAGCATGGCTGGGTCAGTGTATGCCCAGCAGCTGACCAGAAGCCGGACTTGCACTCTGTGGTTGAAAGCCGCGCGTCTCAGGGCGTTGTCAATGGCCGGCCAGTATCTGCAGGAAAGGAGGTGTGTGCAAGAAGGGATATATGTTATTTAAACAGTTCACTAGGAAGCTGTGATGTTAAACTGAGACTTATGAATGATGGTGCACAGATGGGATTTCTGATGTCTAGTAAGTGAAGCACTTGTGGCTTCCCTGGAGGTACAAACAAGGTTTCTGCCTTCTACCAAGTCCGTTCTTTTCACAGAATGTGTTTTGGGACCTCCAGACTCAGCCAAATTGGGGTGAAATTCATCCAAAAGTTTAAAGCTAAGTAAAGTGCACATACACAGATACATGCACAGCATGGTGCCACCATACTCATCTCCTTAGGGAACCAAAGAAAACAATAGCAACTCCAGGGCAAAGCCGGTTCATACAGCACAGAGTTAAAAGGGCAATGCAGAGCCCAGAGAAAAGTCTAAGAACCATTTTTCAGAATATGGCTTTTTCCGGCCCCTGGAGACTCTTTCAAGAGTCTGCAGTGGTCTTGTGCCATCAGCCATCCTGGGAAGACTCTATCCCTCCCCACCCCTCCCTGTCCTCATTGTGTGTGTCCAAGGTAATGGACACAGCTGTGCTCTCTATGTTCCCTGGGCGTGTTCCCTGAACATGGGAAAATCTGTTTTCCTGACACTTGTGTTGACAGTACCTATGGGGAACATTTTTAACATCCTTCACCCAGCTACACAACACTAAGAGCTGCACAATGTGCATCCCAGGGCTGGTAACTCCAAACACCCACACGGCATTTTCATTCCACAGATACTAACAAATGCTGCACAGAGGGAAATGAGCATGTTTACTACAGTTTGGTGGGCTGATACAGAGAGAGGTCCAGAATTTGCTCACAGTCCCATGAGCAATGATGAATTAATTTGCCTAATTGAATCCTTTTGGTTTTATGTACAAAAGCCTGAATTCTCTAATCCTCCCCTGTGCATCATCCTATTGCAATCAATACACAGACTCAGGTCTGTGGCTCAGGCTTGACTTATAGATCCTGAAAAGCTTGGAAAATCATGCTATTTGAAATGTAATTTTTGAATGGTTTAATTTTTTTAAATATATCAGTTTCTAGTTGATTAACACTCAGGGATTAGGCAGCAGCTTTGTTCCCTCTGCCTCAGCTGCTGGAGGAGCCTAACCTGAACTAATCAGCTTCAATTCATGGCACTACAGCTGGTTGCTGTGGAGATAGCCCGAGGCCCTGCACCACTTTCCCTGGGCCTTTCAAACTCTTGTTTGCATCTGATCAGTCCTAGATGTCACAAACTGTGGATTAAGCTTTCAGATGAAGAATAAGGAGTATTAATGCATTCAATCCTAAGGGGAAAAAGAGACTTTCTGGGAATATACTTTTGGCTAAAATCAGATGAGAAACCCAGACTCAACTATACTACATAGAAACCAAAAAAATCTCTGAGCTGTTTATTAAATATATCCTCCAAGTAGAAGCTAGTCTCAAGATTTTGTTTCTTGGACAGTAGAATTATCTGTGTCTCTCCATTATCCTAAAATCTTCCCCATAACACACCTATGCCCCTGCTGAACAACAGAGGCTTTACCCATTTGTGACAGAGGACATAAGGCATGGTATCATTCTGGCTAAATGACAGCCTACAGCTTACACTGTTCAACAAGCCATGTTGTACAGAATTCTTTCACTTGAGCTTTCTCAGATTATTTAGATGGTTGGAAAACTCAGAAATGTTTTAAGCAGATAATTTAGAGCACTTGGTTGCATGTAAACATCCTAATTCGAGCATATCTAAGAGGATTTGGGAGTCTTAGTGCTGCCCCATGGCTGACTAACTTTCTGTGCTGCTCAGGGTTGGGTTGGTGTGCATAGTTCTGCTGTGACCTTGGGCAGTGTCTGGGACCATGGCAGTGGTTCACCACACACAGGCTCAAGGCCAGGCTGGATGGGGTTTGAGCAGCCTGGTCTAGTGAAAGGTGACCCTGCCCATGGCACAGGAGGGGAGGAATGAGGAGGTCTGAAACCCAAACCATTCTATGACTCTGTGATTACTCCAGATCACCACTTTTTTCTGAAGCTGTTGCCGGAACTTAGATGGAATTATTAAAAACAAAACAAAACCACCAAACAACAACAACAAAAAACCCCCAACAACAAGCAGAAAAACACCTACACCCAAACAAAAAAACCCAAAAGTTTATTTTAGAGGCTGTTCCAGCTCTCACTGCAAAGGTCAGGACAGCCAAGAGCCACCCTCTAAACTATGTGTCAAGTTCATCAAGCAGGAAACAGAGCAGCAAGTCAAGATTCTTCAGAAGTAAAGGCACAACTCCCTGGCACAACTTTTCCATTTCCTCTCATCCTGTCCCTTGGGACCTGAGAGGCACAGTCTAGGGGATGGTTGTGAATGCAGAGCAAAGCCTCAATTCTCTCCATTCTGAATATTTTCATTGCAGAAGGAGGGGGATCACATATTTTTTCTTTAAATAGTACAAGTAACTGATCTGCTCAGGATTAAAGTTGTACCTTTTTGGAAGGACAAAACGGCTGGTAGGGAAATATTCCATAACAGAAACATAGACAAACTTCTGTGCCTGGCTGATAATACTGAGTATAGCATAGAGGTCATGGGTGCGACCTTCTGGACAAAATGCTGGAGGGGAAGCCTGTAAAAAAAACCAAAAAACAACCACATAGCTAAGCAATTTTATTTTTTTTTTCCTCTCAGAAAATTAATTTATGTTTAAATCTGTCTAGTTTTCATTAAAATATTACAAAGCACTTGAGATGGACCACCATCTTTCCTCATGCTTTCCATACCCTTCTGGGTCAGATAATTACTGATATATTGAGCCTACAGGTGATTAGAAGAGACCTGCACACTATTCCTGCCATATAATTTGACAGCTAATGCTGGGTTTATCCCTATTCTATCCCTATTCTTTGAATAGTTCCAGAGAAACCTAAGGAACAAAATCTTATCCTTCTGGAACACAAGCAGCTGAGGAGGACTGCTGAAGAAACTTTCCTGCTCAATCCTTCAACAGTTTACAATCTGTCATGTTGTTTTCAAACATACTTACAGAAAAATAGGTTTCTGTCAAGATTCCATTGAATTCTACTTCCAGAGGCCGATGATTGTTAATGTGGGTAGAATAATTAAGAGGCCAAGGGAATGGGATGGTAGAGTTAGGATATCCAACATCCCAGTAGGTACTAAATGTTTTCCAGAGGTCTTTGGCCAGACAGCTGCAGTTATACATCACAGCGCCAAACTCTTTCACCTGCAAAGAGAGCAAGCTGTGTCACAGCCCCAGAATGAGTCACCTCCAGGGATTTCTTTGCTGTTTCTTCCGCTTTGACAATATTTTACATCATTACAATTTTTTTCTCTGTTATCTGCTAGAACATGAATTTTCCCCCAGATTTTTGAATATGTAGCAGCAGAGGTTACCTGAGATAAAGATCTCCAGTCCATGTTTGCACTACCAATATATATGTGTTTCATGTCTACTATCCAGAATTTGCTATGCAACACTCCTCCTGTCAAACGTCCAAAATCAATCTTTTTCACATGAGCCCCTGAAGAAAGATGGGGAGGGGAAAAAAGAGTTTAGATGTAGCATGGAGATGGTTCCTCAACAGCCAGAACACATCTGCATGTCTGACTCTTGCAGGCAGTAACAACTACCAAAATTCACAAGCACACATTCCTGGGAACACAGTAATTTGAAATAAAATATTCAAAATGTGAAGTTTCAGAAAATCCTAAAGAGCATGGAAACACAGAAAGAAAGCATGAACTAGTGAGCAGACAGTGCTGTGAATCCATGTAAGCACCACACCAGAACAGGAGAAACAGTTTCCCCAGATGCCTTTTTGCGATACAGAAGCTCTGAATGGATCACTGAAGAGAAATAATTACCTTTTTTCTCTAAAATCTCAAGGTCCGTTGATTTTGTAGCCAGAGTTGGTGAACTTGCTGCAATATACAAAGAGACATTCTCTGCGAGTAACCTCTCAAACCTCTGCAGAATATCTTCACCCTGTGTGGCACATTGGTATTTTTTATATTTTGTTAGAGAAAGTGTAGTAAGATACATGCAAATTCAGTGTTACTAATGAGAATCCCAGCACGAGGAAGATCAGAAATTTCACCCATTTCAGCCTAACTTGACTGAAGGAGGAAAGTTGGAGTGTTGCTTCAGAACAGCATGGAAAACCTTCCTGGATTTGCAGGAGGAGTCAAGCAATGTCTCTGGGAGACAGAGCACACAGCCAACCTGCCCTCTGCCACATGTACATGAGGAAAAAAACCACAGTTGTGCTTGTTGATTTTACATTACCCGCTTGGAAGAGGAGTCGTTGACACCGATATCCTTCCCAGTAAGAGACCAGTAGTAAGAAGCCACATAAACTTTTTCCTGGGCTAGATCAAGCAGTCCCATCCAGGCTTGGTACAAGGGTTTGGCCGCAGTGCTGTTTATCTCGAAGGGTAAGTCATAAGGAACATTTTCCACAAGTTCAAAGCTGCAATGGCAATTTTGTATTGTGAAGCAAGTGGCTGTGACCCCAACAGGACACCAAGCACCTGTCAGGCCATACAGCTGGCCCTGCTGGGTGTCAGCCTCCACAGCAAACAAGATGAGCTGGACAAACAGGCTGGGAGTGCTTTCTACCCCTAATTTTTACTGTAACTCTCCATCCAGTGATGGCTTTTCCATGTGCCATTCTAACCTGACTCACCTGCAGGAGTCATTGGACCTCTTGGTGCCCTCCTCAGTTATTGTGGCTCTTGGGAGGGCTCTGTAGAGTCCTTCTTCCTCTGAGAGGTCTCTGTAGAGTCCTTCTTCCTCCTCCACCTTTCTGTAAATGCTGACAACTGCTGCTTCTTCGTTAGCATCAACTGTGCTGTCCACACTCATGAAGTAAACAGCCATCAGGACAAGACCAAGTGTCAAAATTGCCCCTAAGATTTGAAACTAGAACAGAACCCACAGAGGAGAAGATTTAAGTGATCACCAAGATGACCAGCTAATGGATGATTACCTGTGAAAAAATCAGAGTCTTTGAATAGCAGATCTGTTTGCAGCTACTGCCAGACATTGTTCTCAGATGCAGCACTGAAAGTGAGGAACAGCTGTTCAAAGTCTGCTTGGACAGGGCAGAGAAACCTGATCTAGTTGAATATGTGCCTTCTCTCTGCAGGGAGGTTGGACTAGATGGCCTTTAAAAGGTCCCTTTAAACTTAAATGAGGTGCAGAGAAAAGGACCAAAACTTGCCAAAATTATTCACACTGAAATCCCAAAATCAGGGAAGAAAAGTGAACAAAGAGACAGGAGAAGAAACTGAAGAAATGAAATACTAAAACCAGAGAAAATTCTGAAACTAAGTGAAAACAATAAAAGCCAATGGGATGACATGACGTGCAGGGAAATGGACCAAAGCTTGCCCAATTGATCCTCATAGAAATGTCAAGATTTCATTCCCTTTCCTGAAAGGAAGGGAATGAAGTCTTGAAATCAGAGAACCAAATGGAACAAACACTTTTGAAAGGCAATATAATCAAATAAAGTTTGGAATTTTGGAAAAAAAAAAAAAAAAAGAAAATTTGGAAATGGAAATATGTTGGTTTATATGAATACCATTATTTTAGTTCCATTTTTCTATTTAATATTTTTGTGCCAACATATTGCCACAACATTTTGTGCCCTTGTTTTTTTCCCAAATTTTGTGATTAATTTGACATTGATTAGCTTTATTTTAGCACAGGACCAATGGATGTTCAACCAAATTTCTACCAAAATGAAAATGAGGCAATTCCTAACACAAGATTAGCTGTGTGATTAAGCCAAGCATTACCATTAAAAAGGAAGTCTGTGTTATCAGGGCTATAAAAACGGTTCAGAAAGTGTCAGACGGAGAAAGATACTTTGTGGTTTCTGAACGTGTTCTGGTTTTGTCTTAGACCTCCCTTAACTGAAACTACACAAATCTCATTTATCCATGTGAACTGTTTTCCCATGTCATTCTAGGGTGGTAAGTTAGTTTCATTTCCCTTTTGCTGCACTTTCATTTATTCTCCTGAATGTAGATGGAAAAAAAAAAAAAAAAAGTAGCCTGGTTACCTGGTGGCTTCAGATCTGGAGTCCAGCCACTCACATGCTGAAAATTATAGCACCAGGCTCTAAATGCTGCCCTTTACTGAGCAGGAAAAGACAGCCAGCCATACATGTAGATATATTTTCCCCCATTATCATGTCTGGCTCCCCATGGCAGTTCTTGGGAGCTGGAGCCATCCACCAGCCCGTGATAGGCAACACCCACTTGAGCTTCTGAGCTTCCAGGCAGGAGAACCGAGTCTGAGGTGGTCATGAGGCTGTAGCCATAAATCTGAGCTCCCAGAAGGGCACATGGGAAAACCACACAGAAACCACTTGCCTCTGAAAATTTCTGTTTCAGTTTCTATGTGGATAACATTTATTGCTTTTAATTTTCTCTGTTTTTCTTAAAATCTAACATGCTGATATCGATTTCAGGCAGTGATTTGAATGAAATAATCATTTTTAAACTATCTACTTAAATTTTTGCCCTCTGGCTTGTTCACCTCACCACAAAAAAAAAAAAAAAAAAATCTCACCCATTTTTTAACAGTTCTGCATTTCATCACATGAACACATTAGCAGGACTTAAAGAGGTTTTAGAAGACATTTCTAAGGTAAGAAATCTATTGTGAAGTCACATCACGGCTGACACCATGCTACTCACTGTGATGTCCAGGCACTCTGGGCACCTGAATAAATGAACAAATGAATACATGAATAAATGCTGTGCCAGTGGTGGCAGTGAGGCTGTTTGTACGAGCATGGTTTCCTTGTCCCGAGCCAGACGGAGCTGCAGGATTTATCTCCAAATTACTCCCTCTGGGCAAGGTTTGATCAGTCTACCAGATAAATCAATGAGGGCTTTGTCACTCACTTGTTTACAAATAGGATTGAAACCTACACAGATTTCTAAAATGGCCAATAAAACAATTCTTCTTAACCTGTTATTTCTTTTCAGAAATGCCAACACAATCTCAGCTCCTGTAAGCAAATGTGGTGTATCCCAATAATTACCGTTTTGATGTCTTTTTGATTGTTCACGCCTGATTTCATGTTGGAGGACTCATTAAACATCAGGGATGTTTTCAATGCCTTTTTCACAATCTGCAAAACAGAAATGTATGGAAGGGGAAAAATAAAGCTTTATGACAACATTTGTGTACAGCCAATTACAGACAAAAAGTGCAGGTTACTGCCACTGCTTTACACATTGCTCTGAGGTTTGAGTGTGGATCTGTGCAACATCCTCCCTGTGTTATGGGTCTTGAGTGACATCAACAGATTCCAAAGTGACAGAGAGACGTGTAGCCACAGTTTTTCCCCAGTGCTGTTTACAAACAAAAATCCCTGCAGTAATTAATGTGTAAACAACTGCATCACTGCCTCTTCCAGCCATCCTTCAACACCCACTTTTGTCCTATTGCAAGCGAACGTATTTGCCAACAAGCAGTAATTAAATGCAGAAGCAGTGGGTGATAGTGTGCAGCATCAATCTCATTCTGTGTGTGACTGTGTCAGGCTTCTCTCTTCCTGTGCCTGTGAGCTGTCTTCAATGCCAGTGTCTCTTCCAGAAGTGACTCTGTTAAGGGCACAGGAACCAGGCTGAAATGAAAACTCCCCTTCTCTTCTGTTGCAGTCATGACTCTAGAAAATAAGTTATCTTCTTTTCCTTCTCAGGCAGCATTTTTCCAATCTTGTGTTACCACCAGCAGAGGCAACCATAAGAGCAAAAACCAAAATATGCCAATATGACAGCAGATGGCCAGACAGGGGGAGTGGGCACTTGCCTGTTTTACCTTCTCAAAAACTTGACACGTGCCCAGTGGGTCATGAATCATCCCTGCATTGGCAGAGTTGAATTTACACCACAGGAACCTGATGACACATTTCATTCTCAGAAGCAAGAAGCAGATCCTGGGGCACAGCAGATCTCAGAAGGTGCTACCAGATGATACCACCACCTGCCCAGTTCCTGAACAACTGCTTCTGCCCCCTGAGCCACCGGGCATTTGTAGCCTGGAGGATGAGCGTGCTGCAGTGTCCTTGGATATGGAATTGCTCTGTGGGTGGCCACACTCAAGTTTTAGGTAGGAAAGATCCTGCCAGACTTGTCCCATGTGTTCACAGCTGTTGTCACCTGAACTGGGTGGGCTTATGGTGCCTGGCCTCCCCCAGCAGCAAAGCAGCATGGCCATACACATTCCCTGCTGCTTCCTGCCCACTCCACCGTTCTGTATGGGTGCTGTGGCTGCATGGAACAGGCAGGGGCTGGGCACTGCCCAGACACAGCCACAAAGGCTTCCTGTGGGACTCGACTCACAGGCACTGGTGGGGCTGGACCAAAGAGGTGGAGGATGTCTTGGAGGACAAGGGAGGTGGCTCTGAAACAGTGACTTGGGGAACACAGAGAGGGATGTGGAAAGGGAGGGCCTGTGGTAAAAGAGCAGACAAGAGAGAATGACAAAGATGGAAAAGGTGGAGGGGGAAGAAAAGGTACAAACACTCCTGCTTTGAAAGCATACTGGAGCTGCATAGAAGAAAGCCATGTTTCCATTTCAGGACCTGCTTGTTTTATCAGCTGTAATCACCATAGCAGGGCCCACTTCCCAAAGCAGTTTTACTCACACTTTTTGCTGTCACTTCTGTTTTCTACCCCAGGCTCAGCTGCAAGCTTTTACACTAGAAATAGTTACAAATGCTGGCAGGAAAATACCCATTCTTCCAGAGAAATGGAGTGGCTGCCAGCAGTGAAGGACAGTTGGCCATTCCCATACCTCTGAAATCCCAGTTCATGTTTTTAGCACAGTATAAAGACCCACTGTCTTACCCCAAAGAGCTGATAGCCCAAGCAGTTGGGGGTATAACCCACCACACAGAGAAAGGTGTGTGTGACAGCAACACACATGAGAGGAAGTGGTCGCATTCCAACCCCAAAATCTTAGTGAGAAGAAAGGGAAGAGAGAGCAGGAGAGAAGATGTGAAAGATTTGGGTAGGAAAGTGAGGCAAAGGTATTTTAAAGGAGGAGGAGAAAGGCATCTGACAAATAGCAGCAGCCCTTCAGGCTGGGCCAGGAGAGCCACTGAGGGTGCAGGTCACGCTGCAGAGTTGTGGCTTTAACACAGCTGTCCCTGTCAGGGCTGGCCCAGAACAAACAACCACCACGGGTTCTTCTCATCACAGAACTGGAGCTGAAAGGAGTTGCCTCGTCCCTCTGGCTCCCAAAGTCACATCTAGTGACCCAGGCGGTGTCTTGGTGAGAAACTGCAGGTGGCAGTGCTTTTAGAGCCACATGACGGCCTCAGATGGATGGAGTTTACCAGAAACAACTTGTTTCACTTCTCTTTTTCAGCAACAATTACAAAATGTCTTCCAAAAGCAGCGTTTTTCTTAAAATACAAAGGTGAACAGATTTGGTGTGTGCTGTGATAGAATCATCTACCATTCTGTTCAAACAAAGCCCTTCTCCATGTCTTTGGCTGGTGATGAGTCCCACCTGCTGTACAGAAGTTGTGAGAACTGCTTTAAAACAGTTTCGTTTTCAAGAAGGGAAACATCACAGAGGCAAACAGAATTCCTAAGAGTAATATTGTAGCTAGTCAGCAATTAACTACGTCTCCCTCGAAGCTTTCAGGGCTCTACCAGCTGCCAGTGTCAATGCCTGAAGTTCATCCAAGAGCAATAAATTTAAGCACTATTTAGCACTGCTTCACAGGCTGGGACACCAGCTAATGCCAGTCTGGTGAGTACCCACAGGACAGTGATGTTTATAACATTAGGGTTGCTTTCTCCTTGCCTCTGAAATACCTCTTGGTACCTCATGTCTCCACCAGCAACAAATTGTGTCAGACTTTGACTCTCAAACACAAGAATGTGATTTTTCACTATACAAAATCCACCCCAGGAGCTGTTGGAAGTTCCTCAGATGAACAAGGTACATTCATCTCACAGCCACTCCCCAGCTCTTTCAAGATGATGACAAATGTACTTACCATCCTGGAAGGTCTCCTCCTGTGTGGATGTCCCACTGCACTCTGATGTTACTCCCAGCCTTATGTACAAGAGCTAGTACTCATGCTCTGTCAGCACATTTGTTTAGGGTTCTTCTGGTTTTTTTCCCCTCCTTCTGTGGATCACTTCCTCCTAGACACTGAGTTTTACAATGTGCACTGACTGGGTGCTAAGTTATCATACAGTTGTTGTGACCCAATTCTTAAAACTCCAGGTCCTGATCCTCATGTTGAGGATCATGTATGATCCTCAAGCCATAACTTGGTTGGATGGGGAAGCTCCCACTCAGTGGTGGAAAGTCCAGATCAGCATGAGAGGATACTCACTGTTTGGAAGGACTGCTCAGCTTTGGTTAGCAGCCAAAACCTGGCTCTGTTTTCACTGCATTATTCTTGACCAGAAGCTTCATTTTAAGCAGACAAACAAACCCTCCAAAACAACCTCTCTACAAAGTTTTTCTTGAAAGCACTTTCCTGCTCAGTCATGCTTGGACAAGCACGAGGGAGCAAGCCAGCTCCTTTGAAACAGTGCAGCCCTCATGCTGAACACGTGGTGTTGGAATTTGCAGTGGCGCTGTTGAGGGGTTATGGCTGACACTGAGTTTGGGGCAGCTTCTAAGAAATTGTGCCTTCTGTAAAAATCCAAAGGCTGCACTTCAGCTGACACAAATGAAAGCGTGAAAGTTTCACTCTGGAAATGCTGCTGTTGTTCTCCAGGTGGCCTCTTATTCCTACTGACCCCAAGGATGCAGTTCCCTAGTGCAGTACCAGAGGAAGGATGCTGTAAGGAGTCAGTGGAGAGACAGCTTGGCACACAAGGCTCTAGCACACCTTGTATCAAGCTGCTGAAGATGGGAAAATAAGGAGCCAGAGGATAGGTCTGGTACAACAGCAAGAGGCCTTTCCCTGGGAAGCTGCAAGTGCCATGAGTCTTCTGGTTCCCTCAAGACTAAAATACAAGCATGAACTCAAAGAAGCCCAAAAAGCAGTGGAGCATATAGGACACATCTCTGCCCAGCTACCTCACTCCTGAATTACTGCTGTGCACAGATCACTTATCATGGGAGCCATCCCAAATCTCTGTCACAACAGGACTTAAAGCAAAGGCTGCTGCTGTCCCTGTAGATCTGGGTTACCAGAAAGCTGGAGGCAGGATCTGCAGACAGTGAAAAGAGCTCTGGAAAGCCAGCCCTGCTAAAGGTCCAAATCACCCCCAGGAAGTGTCCCTGGCCCTCAGATGACTTCAGAGGCTGAGCATTCCAACTAAATATTTCAGCTAAGCTCCTGCTTGTGTGCAGGACTGAAATCCTGGCATGAACTATGTCAACCTCAGTCTCAAAAGCTCCCACTGACTTTGGGATCGAGCCACACAGGCAGCAGCACCTTTCTACAAACTTCAGGATTTGTCAATTATTTCTCCAACATCACAAGTTCAGTTCAAGTGGGTTGTATCAGAGGAAAAGCAGCTTCCAGGAAAAAGAGCTGTATTTCTCCTCCTCTTCATCAGCTCTCTAACCACTTGCAGCTCTGATAAATTCCACTGTCCTCCTCCAGTCCAGCCTGCAAAATCCTGGTTTCCTTCTGCTCATCTGATCTCACATACCAGCCCAACAATTCTGCATTTCTGATCTTACTAACAGTGCTGTAGCTATGACAGTTTCAGGATGGAAGCGGATTTATGGGTAGAATATGGTTGTATTTGACCAATTCATGCAGCTGGGGGGGAGGAAACAAAAAAATAGCAAGGTTTAGAGCAAACAGGAAATTTTCTTTATTCTTCCTCTTCCCCGTCTCTCAGACAAGGCGCCTTCTACCAGTTGCTCTGGCTGACTTGCCACCATCCCACACGCAGAGTAAATTCATCTCTCGCTGTATGGCTGGGTGGCACTCTGTGGTTAACATGTTCCCTCTGAAAGTCATGCCTCATCCAGTTTGTTATAGATGCATTAAAAGATAGAGTGAAAGAGCTTTTTCTGCCTGTGTGGGAGGTTTGCTAAGAAGAAACTGCCAGTTTAACACATTCTCATCTCTGAGAGCTAATTATAGACAAAAACATCAGTACCACTGCAGAGATTACTACAAAACTACACTTTCTGTTTCATGAGAACAAGGCTGGGCTCCAAATACCAACAGTTGACAGAAGGATGGGAGGCAGAAACAGCCAAGGACCGTACATTTGAGAAGAAAAATGCTCTATTTATACTTTGTGCCATAAGATTGTATACTTAAATTAGCTGGGGAGGGGGGACCCAAAGAAGTTATTTCAAGTTTAGAACTGGGAAGTGATTCAGACAAGCCTAGGGAAAATTTCAAAGTCTGAATAAAATTGTGATTTGTTTGGAAGCATTTTTAAAGATTTACTCAGTTTCCACTTTTTAAAATATTCAGTAAATTCACTAAGATATCTGACCATGGACTTGAAACATTTAACTTGAAATATTTAGCTCACTTGGAATAATGTTATTCAGCCTAAAATTAAATACTAAAGCCTGCCAGCCATGTTTTGTTTGGAAAAATATTTCAATTGCAAACAAATAAATAAAGCCATGAATATAGTGCAAGAGAGTTCTTCACTGTCTCTGTCTTGTCACTCATCTTTTGTAGCACTCACCCTCCAGTCACACCTGGGAAAGATGACTTGCAAGTATTAGGAAAATACTTCAGTGTGTGTTGGTGTTGAATGTATTTTGTATTATAAAAATTTTATTCCTTCTCTTCTCTCTGTGGTATTGCTTTTGCTGAAACCAAACTTCACCCATGACTCTGGATCTCCTCTTGCCTGGGAAGTGCCAGGTGAATGCTATATTTTGAGGTTTTTGCTGGTTTTTTTCCTTCCTCTGATTTGAATGTTGACAGAAGCATTTAATGTTGAACAAACCCAGCTCTTTTGGCAAGAACAGTATTTCCAATATTTCTGTTTAGAGGAAAAAAGGCTAAATCAGGGTAGAGTGCTACTTTCTTATATTCATTGTTCTTGGCTTCGGTTGCTCAGCCCACATCAATCACAGAGCTCAGCAGCCAATCCACTAAAATAAAACACCTTTCCTAGGGAACTGCACAGGTGAGCTCTCGTGTGCTGGTGCTCAGAGTCTTTGCAGGGTTACATCCAAAAGGTTGTGCTCCATTAGGGAAAGCAACACCCCTGCAGGCAAACTGCTCACTGCTGCTCCACACCAACCCCATCTCACCAGCTGAGACCAGCAGGGCTCTGCAGCAGCCCACGGATGTCCTTGCTGACAAACACACGGTGCCCTCCCACCACCACATGGGCAGAACCCAGCAGGTGAGGGTCTACCCCTGGATCTTCACACAACATCCAAAAAAAGAGAACCTGTCTCCTCCAAAGAATTAAAAGTTTTGTTTTGAGAGGGGATCCTGAAACCCTGCTCAAGGCAAAGCATTCTGATGTTCCTTGCTATGTACATGTGGAAAACCAGGCTTTATTTCCCAAAGCAGCTGAGGATGTTGGAAGCCAAACTTGCAGCTGAAGGCTCAGCAGGAAGGTGCACAGAGGAGATCATTACTTTTCCCATCTATCCTTTATTTTTCAATTCTAGCAGCTTTCATTATGTTGCAAATAGTTTTGGCTACAGTTCCACCGCCTCTTATGTTTACTCAGCCAAACCGTTAAAAATTAATGAAGTGGGTGCACTATTGATTTCAGAAGGGCCCTTTGCACAGCATCCCAACTCAAACACTGCTCCTGTCAGGGAAACCTGGGGAGAGGCAATATTGTTAGTGTGTAATCCAGCCCTGCACTGTAGGCAACACAGAAAACCTCTGCAGACACAGCACATGAACTAAGCTTCAGAAAGCTTCTTAAGAGAGGCTAAGATTTATTATTTTTTTAAACACAAAAACCCTCCCTAAAATTTTTAAGTGTAAAAGATTTCCATGTTCAAGTACCTAATGGAAAGGTAAGCAGGGATGGAAAATCTCCCAGTGCTTCTAGTTAGGGACTAGTATTTTCTTGCTCTTCTTCCTTCTTCTTGCCAGTGTGTTACTGCTGGCAAACAATGCCATGTTTTCATCAGCTGCACATGTTCTGCTTCCTGCAGGAGCTGTGCTAATGCAGTCCCACGTGGCACCAGGCAGGGTGGGGGAGGCTGAAGGCAGTGCAGAGAAGGAGGAATTAACAATATTTCTAAAGTGCCAGGAAGGATGCAAAGCTCAGACAGAAATGCAGGATGGAAGGAGGACACTGGTGGAATGAAGGCAAACATCAAAAAGGATTTCACAGACACATGGACTATATATATAGGTTTTTATATGTCTAGCATATATGTCTGTGAACACATAAACTATGTGTTCATATCAAATATCAAAACATTTTGATATTTTCATGTTTTTTTTAAATATATATCTAAAAGGTGAGTGCAAAAAAATAAGCCTAATAATGTATCTACAATCACATACCTCCTGGGGAATGATCACTTCCAGGCTGGATTCAACCACCATGTTAATCGTGACAATGAAACAAAACAGCACTAAAGATTAAATCAATACCATATTCAGATGTGTCACCCTGATGTGAAAGGGACTTTGGGACTCCAACCCAGGAAGTTCTGGGGGAGTAAGAGAACTCCTGTTCCTTGGTGTGCCCAGCCATAGGTGTCAGCAGGACTGATGCAGTCATGCTGTGAGTCTTGAGCTGCTGACAATTCTGTCATTGCACTGCACTTAACACCAGTGAGAACAGGCAGCTGAAACAATCCATCCACCAAACACACATCCTCCTCCAAATTAACACACAAAATCCAGCATTACTGTCACATGATAAAAGAATGATTTATTAGAGCAACTTTATGATAAAATTATATAAAATAACAATTTGGTTTTTTAAAGACATCCACAATATCACCTCAAAACAAAATGTACAGATACTGCCTATAATCCAAACAAAAATAAATTACTGTTCAAAAAAAAACCAAAACAACAAACCAAAAGTGGAAAGAAATCATGGCAGAAGAAACAAATCAAAATTATACACAGCATTTAAAGAGGGTGTGGAAAAGAGAGAGTCATTAATTGATTCAAGTTATACAAACGTGTTTCAGCTTTACTCTCAGACAGCTCAGCTTGCATTTGTGTT